GGGGAAAATCGATGGTACAGCATTTGGTTTAAGTCTACGTTTAAATCCGTCGGCACACGTAAGTTCTTTCATTAGCTGTGGTCTACTAAAGGCCTCAAAGGCATCAGGGCTAAAGTGGCGAGAACACAGACGCGGGTCTTTGGGAAGTTGTATTCGTCCACAGGCATCTTCCCATTCTTTTCTCCTCTTCTTGTCGCTAGGAAAGCTGTGAAGACTTACATCGCTGCTCTTGTTGCCCTTCGACTGAAAATTACAGCCAAAAGCCGCACAATGTGGCATCGTATCCGTGTTTTATATTATGAGTTGTGTCAAAATAGCAACAGGTAGCGCCAGTAGCTCACCGAGTGCAACCATTTGACGTCATCGAAATAATGGCGCCCCCCACAGTCCAAAATAAGCAAAAAACGATGTGGATTTTTTAACTAACGTAAATCTTTCATGTTGTTTCTACTACATTTTTCATTAACTGACATCATTTACGTTATTTTAAGCCATACAAGTCTTAATACCCGGGGTTCCCTTTAAAGCTACCCAAACCACCAAACCTGTCCCTAACCTTACCCGTATCCCACCTCAATTGCAGCAAAAGTGTTTTGCAATACAATATGAACACAATAAGTACATTGTACTTATTTTTTGATGTAGGTACATAGTAGTCACTCCTAAACCCTCAGCTGACAGCAGCTGTCTCCTTTACCTCTGCTCAAAGGAGGAGAACGCGGAGAAAGAGACCGTTGGCTCCAGTTCCCACGTCCAACCCAGGGAGGGCTCCAGTTCCCACGTCCAGCCCTAGGGAGGGCTCCTGTTCTCACGTCCAGCCCAGGGAGTGTTCCAGTTCCCACGTCCAGCCCAGGGAGGGCTCCAGTTCCCACGTCCAGCCCAGGGAGGGCTCCTGTTCCCACGTCCAGCCCAGGGACGGCTCCAGTTCCCACGTCCAGCCCAGGGAGGGCTCCTGTTCCCACGTCCAGCCCTAGGGAGGGCTCCTGTTCTCACGTCCAGCCCAGGGAGGGCTCCAGTTCCCACGTCCAGGTGGGGGGGCTATAGGGATCCGGCCGTAGAGGCCGGGTCGAGTGCCAAGGCCAGGGCCACGGAGGCAGCTCCGCCATGGCCCCGAGTTCCCTGCTCCGCCATGGGTCCCGGAACGGGTGCCTTCCGGGAGGGGGAGATAATGTCACACCCCTGGACTGCCCCCGTGTTCCGTGTCTTGTGTTTTGCTCCCCATGTGTTCCCCATTACCTAGTTTCTCCCTTGTTCATTGTTTCCAGGTGTTCCGTGCTCCTCGCTTCTAGACAATAGGCTGACTGTGACAGTAATACTTGTTTGTACATATTTTAACACATTTTAGTAAATAAAATAGGTAAATAAAAAATAAGTAAATAAAAAGTTTTTTGTCCATAAATATACTGATTAAAACATTAATTTTAAATATCAGAAAAAAACCCTTTTTAAATATATTCTGACAGCTTCGACTGTTTGAAAAAGATCCCATAATGATTTAATACAGCTTTACTGTAGTTACAAAACATTTTATTAAATGCTATGATTAATGTCATATTTTATAATGTCAGAAGCTCATTTCCGTCTTGTGAGGAATTGATTATATTCATGATACAAACATCAATAAAAATCTGATCTCGTTGATTTGTCATTGTGTTTTATTTCTGTACAAAAACAATAGAGATAAATGAATGACGTTCTTCATCAATCATGTTTGTGAAAGATACTTTTCAATGGAAAGTTCAATTTGACACTACAATAAAAATACAAATGTAGACACGCACACACGGATCATACTGTCTATATGAGGATTTATGACACATTTATTCTGACTGTTATTTCAGTGACAACGCCTTCCGTCCAGGGCCTGTAAGTTCTCGTCTGCTCTGACGGCTAGGGCTTACAGTGCTGCTGGACAGGCCGCTTCCGCCCTGCACGCCATGGCCCTCCTGCAAGTCCACCAGGCCAAGGCGTTGAAGCAGTTGCACGAGGGTGGTGCTGACTCGGGTGTGCTGCAGGAACTGCGCACGGCAACGGACCTCGCGCTTAGGGTGACGAAAGTCATGGGGTCAGATGATGTCCACATTGGTGGTCCAGGAGCGCCACCTATGGCTGACCTTGGCGGATATGAGGGAGGCCGACAAGCATCGCTTCCTGGACTCCCCGATCTCCCAGGCCGGCCTATTCGGCGAAGCGGTGGAGGGCTTTGCCCAACAGTTCTCCGCCGCGCAGAAGCAGACGGAGGCGTTTCGACACATCCTGCCCCGGCGGTCTGCTGCTGTCTGCACCCCACCGCCGGCTGCAGCCCCTCTGTCTGTTCGTCGCCGAAGGGGCCCTCCTGCGGCCTCCACCTCCGCTCCGGCGCGGCCACAACAGCAGCCTTCACAACGGCCGCAGCGTGGAGCTGGCCGCAGGAAACCGGCGCAGCCCGCCTCCACCCCTGCCAAGCCCGTGAAGCGCCAAAGCAGGCGGCGTCCCTGAGACGGGCGACCCGGAGCTCTTAGATCCTGCTCTTCAGGAGATGGTCACCGCACCACTCCTTTCCCCGGAGAAGGGCTGCGTGGAGAATCTTATTTTCCCGTTTGTTTTTGTTCCGCCCGCCGTTCACATCCCAGGCGAGCTCAATCGTGCAGCCGACGAGCTCTCACATCAGCTCGCCCTTCCGGGAGAATGGTGACTCCACCCCAGACAGTCCACCTGATTTGGAGACGCTTTGGGGATGCTCAGGTAGACCTGTTTGCCTCCCCGGATACGTCCCATTGCCAGTTATTTTACTCCCTGGCACCGCTGTCCTATCTTCCACCCCAGCTGGTGTGGGGGGACTAGCCGGCTTCCGCAGGGCACTGGAGGGGGTCAGCAATAGTGGCATTTTCCATACGGATCCCAATTCGTATCCTGACGTAACGTAGAACGTGACTGACTGAAAGGGAACGTCTAGGTTAGGAAGGAGGGAACGGAGACGTTATGTTCCGTCACCACAGTTGCTGTACCACCGCTGTACGGCTGGGGCACGTAGTCTCGGCTCCTCAGCGAAAAACTGATGTGCGTTTGCACACGCTCTCCTTTTATACCCGCGCTGTGGGGCGGGGTGCGCGTGGCAAAACACGCACGCCAACTGTCATTGGCTTGTCTCGGGCGAGATTCCAATTCGTCAGTCACGACTGATGTAACGTCTCCGTTCCCTCCTTCAGGGAACGAGGGTTACACAAGTAACCTAAACGTTCATCTGCAGTATTAATGTGATGTAGAGACTATAACATCTCACTGTCACTGATTCATCATGCAGCTCAAAGCATTATGGGTAGAATCTCTTGTCAGTCTATTCTGATTCATTAACACAGTTTCACTGATGATTGATGATAAAAAACAGTAAACCCAGGATAGAGCGGCTGAGTGAATGTGGTCTGGACTGTGTGGATGAGGCTCATTGTGTCAGAGACGCTGTAGAAGGACAGAGTTCCTGCACTGTGATCCACATACACTCCTATTCTCCTGCTGATGGACTTCACAGAGAGATCAGTCTTTGTCGTATTGTGTCTGAATGAGCATTGGGAGGAAGAGCAGAACAAACTCCAGGACTGATTGTTAGATCCAAACAAACACTCAACACCCTCTCCCTTCCTGCTGATGCTCTTATATGACACTGATATATCCACACCATAATCTCCACTCCACTCAATCTCCCAGTAACAGCATCCACACACACTCTCTCTACACAACACCTGAGAATAAACATCAAATCTGTCTGGATGATCAGGATATGACTGTTTCTCTCTCACACACGTCACCTTTCTGTTCTCCTCAGACAGAATGAGTTCAGTGTTTGCCGTGTTTGGATCCAGTGTGAAAGAACAGACATCTGAACACAAGAACAGAGACATTTAGAACACAACCACAATCACTACAGCTCTGTGTGTGTGTAGGTGTGTTGTGTGTGTGTGTTTGTGTGAGTGTGTTTGTAGACGTACATTTGCGTAGTCCTGCTGTAATCCTGGATTCTCCTCCATGATCCACACTAGAAAACATAGTGTCACATTCAATCACTGAGTAAACTGTTGCTATGCAGTTGCTAAGGTAACTTGGGGTGGTTGCTAGGCTGTTGCTATGTGATTACCAAGGTATACAAGGTGGTTGCTAGAGTACATGCAGTGGTTGCTAGTAGGGGTGTATCGCCAGTAAAGTCACGATACGATACGATACATATCACGATACAGGACTGCACTAAATTTTATTTCAGCAGAATTGAGTAAAACAGCTGTTTATGAAACACTGCATACTGTAGGATCATTGCTAACTACAGGCAGAGCAGACAGTTGAGCTTTGCATTATGAAGGGCCTCCAGAGCTGTATAATAATATTAGTAATGCTATAGGTTTCATCTTAACACTGGGCACTTCACCACCAGTTATTTTGATTGATTGCATCTTGTTTTTAACCCTTTAATGCACATCATGGGTCTAAAGTGACCAGACTGAGTTTATTTTTTCTACATCTTTGCAAGAAATTAATTTCATCATTCAGAATTCCTCAATTAACTAAAATGACCCATATAGAAACCTTTGCTATTTGCTATTTTTTTTGCTAGTAGGAACATATTTACTGCAGAAAACTATTCACCTGCCCCACATTTCACAACTCAGCATTGCTGCTTTTGTATAATTTATGCATTTAGTCTTATTTGATAATTTATTACCATAGAAAATAGTTTATATATTGTGAAAGATAACTGGATATTTGAATGTTAGGCTAAGGACCTTGAAATCTATTACTAGTGAGACAGAGAAACATGTCCAGTACTAGCTTGTTGTTGACATTCTATTTTAGCTAGGTCAACAAAATAAAAGTAAAAAAAATACATTATTATATACATGTATATATCATTGCTGTCAGGCGGAAACCTCGTATCTCCACATTTCATCATTTTAATTTTTTGTCAAAAATCAGTGCTATTGGTCACCTTTTATGTCTGTCAGTGTTCCTGAAAAGTAACGGTTTAGGACAGGGATCCTCAAATTTGGCCCACGAGATCCACTTTCCTGCAGAGTTTAGCTCTAACCCTAATCAAACACACCTGAGTATGCTAATCAATGTCTTCAGGATCATTAGAAAATCACAGGTAGCTGAGTTTGATCAGGGTTGGAGCTAAACTCTGCAGCGCATTGGACCTCCAGGGTAAGATTTGAGGAACCCTGGTTTAGGACATACAAGGTTTCTGTCTAACAGCGACAATATATAATCAGTATATACATGATCAGCTGCTTGTTGTGCACTCTTTATCTAGAGCGTTAGTATGGCTGATCCCAGTCATTCTAGATTAACGGCTGAAATGTTTGTAGAGATGCTGCATGATGAGGAAGATCAGGCCATTCTTAGTCTAGATCAGTGGTTCCCAACCCTGGTCCTGGAGGCAGAACCCTGGTTTAGGACATACAAGGTTTCTGTCTAACAGCGACAATATATAATCAGTATATACATGATCAGCTGCTTGTTGTGCACTCTTTATCTAGAGCGTTAGTATGGCTGATCCCAGTCATTCTAGATTAACGGCTGAAATGTTTGTAGAGATGCTGCATGATGAGGAAGATCAGGCCATTCTTAGTCTAGATCAGTGGTTCCCAACCCTGGTCCTGGAGGCACCCCAACACTGCACGTTTTGCATGTCTCCTTGATCAAACACACCTTATTCAGGTCATCAGCTCATTAGTAAAGACTCCAAGACCTGAAACTGGTGCGGCAGAGAAAGGAGACATGCAAAATGTGCAGTGTTGGGGTGCCTCAAGGACCAGGGTTGGGAACCACTGGTCTAGATCATCAGCATCAGATATTTCACACTCTGAATCAGGACTATGTGCTTGAAGGGTGCACCCCACCTTCAAAACCATATTACAGAAGCAATGGGAAGATGTGGGATAAAAAAAACAAAACACAGTCACCACACAGCTACAGGTATATCAAGGAGTTTATAAGACTGGTTTATTCTTTCTTTATATTGTAGACACGTAGAACATATCCGCGTTTGTGCATCAATGTCTGTAATGTGTGCTGTAGCTGCGAAACTTTTAGGAATCTTATCCAAGTTGTAGGCTAGTCAATATTGGTCAGTCAGTCGTATCTGAGGATCCGCGAATGAAACTGTGACCACAAACACCACTAACTTAAATGAATTATATGGCAATAATCAGCAATATGCTTTCACACAAATAACTTTATTTTTTGAATGTTTCAATGTGTTGACACAAATGACTTACTTGAATTTTTAATTGATACAACATTGCAGTTGTTAGAAAATAAATGCGTAGAGACGTTATTGCTTGATGACGTCAGGAACCGATGAATCGGCTTTTTGAACCGGTTCAATGAGCCGATCTATCCGAAAAGAACCGGTTCGCGGAAATGAATCGGACTTTGCATCACTAATACCTGCTAGATCCATGGCTTGGGTCAGTTGTTCTGTTATGCGAGAGGAGTGAAGCAAGCAGGCAGAGAACGCGGATCTAAGTGCAGGTAGAGTTTAATGACAAGACTAAATGAACAAAGAACAGGAAACACTGGGAAACAGAGAACCAAAACACGGGCAGACAACAGTATAATAACATTCAACAACTCCCAAAGCACAAGTGAAACGCAAGGGCTATTTATACACAGGAGAACAAGATAACAAAGGGGCATGGGAAATGGGAAACACCTGGGGAACCTTATCACGGGGAACCAATACACAAATGGACTACTAACAGACTACAAACAAGGCATAGGAAACACTTAACACAACATAAAAGTCCAAACAGAGCACAGAACATGTAACACAAACCCAGCGATTGGGTTGTTTTTACCCAGCGGTTGGGTAACTACCCAGAGGGTTGGGTCCGTTGGTTGAAAACAACCCAATCGCTGTTTGTCCATATTTTACCCAGCATTTTTTAGAGTGTAGGAAAAAAATAAAGGATAAATTTGTGGTCATTGTAAAAAAAATTAAATATTTTGAATATTCATGGATCAAGGAAATTTGTAGACCAGGGAATATTAAATGCTGAAATAAACGGATTTCAAAAGATAAAACAAAAAATGCCCAGCGAAGTATGAAATAACATAGGAAATGAATACGGACCATTTTAGGCCCATGTTGTGCATTAGAAGGGGTTTTCATAGCTTGTGTATCAAAGGATTAAGCCCACAAATAATAATGTACTTGTTCTAATAAATTGATATTGTAATGTACTCATTCTAATGTATTAATAAAATCATATTTACATTGCTGGTAGGTTATCATTGCACAAATTAATACACTCTCTACTTTTAAAAAAATACAAATTTGAAGCGTTCTAAATTAATGCGCTGTCTTCACTGTAGCTCACACAGACATTCAGCAGCAGAGACACTTCAGTGATTCTCTGCAATTTTATCAATAAAATAAAAATAATGTAGCTCTTCAGCTATTGAGTTTGTAACATCATTGTTTTTAAGTAATTAAAGCCAACGCTGCACTGTTAAAAGTGAAACGTGGCAAAAACAGAGGTAATTCATACATACACAGTATTTTTCTCTTCCTCTCCTTTTCGTAAATGGGTTCCTCTGTGGCCAGATTAAACTTTCTTGTAGCCTATATATATTATACTCTATTCATTATTTTTTTTTTTTAGAAAATGTGTGCTTTTCCACTCTGTTTTAAATGCAAGTTAAGTGTGGTCCACTGCTGCAGAATCCATACAGAAACATACTACTTGACGATACGGGTATCGATACAGATGTGTCGATACATTGTCATATCGATTTATCGAACACAGCCTGGTCTTGCTATGCAGTTGCTAATATCACGTTGCTAGCATGTTTTAACACATTGTTTAACAATGCTAAGCTAGTAGCTAGGCTTTGCTATTGATGATAGATAGATAGATAGATAGATAGATAGATAGATAGATAGATAGATAGATAGATAGATAGAGATCACATTTATTTGAATACATGAATAATTGCATTAGTTTGAATACCTATAGAGAGAGAGAGGTGTAGTGGACAGCACATTCCAGGGCCCAGTTTATGGTGGGGCCCCTCTCTGACCACAATAGTGGACAAAGATTTGCTACATTTTTATTGGATCTTGGTGGACTAACATAAGCAAACTGTCCAACGCCATCAGATAAAGATGCCAGGACAACAGCCAGACACCTCTTAGAGGGCAAGAAGACCTTTGGAACAAATCCCAGGAGGACAGGACTTCTCATTGGTCAAAATGCAGTTTCTGCCCTTCAAACACCAACAGACTGATCCCTAAGGCTTTTGGCTTGTGACCACCATAAAAATTCCTTAGGACCTCTGGATGCAGCAGCAGTGGGTGAAACAAAGAGAGATCACAGAGTTCCATCCAACTCCATTCATAACTATGTTCTCAAACCTTAAACTGATGCAAACTACAACACACACATCTCATATTTATTCAGAGAAATAAGTATTCTTAGTGACAGCGATGTGTAGGGCAACATCTTACACAAACTCAGCTGTTAATGGACAAATGAATGCATGCATGATAGTTCAATCTTCTTCCATCATGTTTGGGCTTAATGTGTTCGGAACATTGCCAAATGTATTCTGGTTGACACTTTTCTAAATGTGTGTTTGGACTATGCAAACAAGTTCCCCAGGAGGAAAGAAGGGTGGGCCACACCGTGTCCCCCCACTCTGATGGAAACAGCCTGGAGATGGAGAAGTGCCAGATTGCAATCTCCTCCTCATCGGAAAGAGAACAAGGAGTGTCTTTTGGGAAGGTACCTTTATCTGAATCTCCGGCCTGCGTGGTAGGAGATAGAAACAGATCATCCATGTTCTGAGTCTGAGTACCGAAAGGGAGAGACACTAACAGAAACACCGAAGGTCTGAGTCCCGTCAAGGAAAGGACTGTAACAGATCAACCTCCGTTCTGAGTCTCCGGCCTGCAAAGGTGAGACACTAGCAAATACACTCGTTCTGAGTCTCCCATTCCGAGAGACAGAAACATCAACGTTCTGAGCCTCTGGCCCATGC